TTGTATCTTGAGAAAGATTTGTACACCATCCCTCTTAAAGTTTTTGGGTGCACTTGTTTTGTTCAAATTCTATAACCCCCATTGTTCTAAATTTGATCCTAAAGATGCTAAATGTATATTCCTTGACTATGCACAAAATCAAAAGAGATTGCTGCTATGATACTATTTCTGGTTCTCGGTTTGTATCCATGGATGTTACCTTTTTTGAGGATGTCTCCTATTACCCAGGTGTTTCTTCTTACGGGGAGAATAATGAGAAGGATCATCCATGTCTTGGAATTCCTCTACCTATCCCTATTCTTGAAGGAAAGTTGTGTAATGAGGGTACTTATCAGAGGTGTAGAGAGTTGAGAGTTTACCACAGGAGGTGGAGGCAGGTTGATTTCGGTGCTCATAACTAGTCCAGGCCAATTCCTCTCTCCTCTGTAGTTCTAGATTCACATACTTTTCCCTCTTTGCTTGTTAATGCATTACCCTCTTCTTCTGATCCTCTACCCCCTCCAGATGATCTTGACCCTTCCCATTGCTATCCACAAGGGAAAGCGTCAGTGTACTTCATCTACTGCTCATTGCATATCTCTGTTTATCACCTATGATCATCTTTCACCATCCTATAGGTCCTTTTTGGCATCTATCTCTGCTATACCTATTCCTAGATCTATACAGGAAGCTCTTGCACTACCTGAGTGGAAGAATGTAATGGAAGAAGAGATGGGTGCTCTCATTAAAAATAAGACTTGGGAGCTAATTGACAAGCCATAAGGAAAAAATACCAGTTAGGTGCAGATGGGTGTTCACTGTGAAGCATAATGCAGATGGCTCAATTGAGAGGTATAAAGATCGGCTGGTGGGAAAGGGGTATACTCAGACTTATGGCATTGACTACCTTGAAACATTTGCATCTATTGCTAAGATGAATGTCATTAGAGTTCTACTATCCCTTGTAGTAAATTTCTCCTGGCCTCTGTTTCAACTTGATGTCAAGAATGCTTTCCTTAATGAAGACTTGTAGGATGAGGTGTATATGGAACTACCTCCTGGTTTTTATGATGTTGCTATAAGAAAGAAAGTTTGCAAATTACAAAAGGCTTTATATGGTTTAAAGCAATTTCCAAGAGCCTAGTTTGATAGATGTAGATTAGCTCTTGAAAGGTTTGGTTATGTACAGGCCCACTCCAATCATACTCTCTTCATTAAGAGAATTTGTTCTTCTCTCACATTTCTTGTAGTGTATGTTGATGTCATTGTTGTGACTGGTTGTGATCTTGATGAGATTGATTCTCTCAAACAATTCCTTCATAAGGAATTTGAAGTGAAAGACCTTGGTGATCTACGCTATTTCTTGGAAATTGAAGTGGCCCGCTCTAGACATGGTATATTTATTTCCTAGAGGAAATATGTCATTGATCTTCTTGAGGACACTACGAAACTAGGGGTTAAACCCATAGACACACCCATTGATCTGAATCATAAGATAAGTGCTAAAGGGTGTGAGCCTCTTGAAGACAAAGTAATGTACCAACGACTAGTTAAAAAGCTCCTTTATCTATGTCTCACTCGCCTTGACATCTCTTATGTTGTTAGTGTGGTCAGCCAATACATGCATTCTCCTAAAACTACTCATCTATTGGTTGTGGAAAGAATCATTTCTTACTTGAGAAAATGTCCTGGTCAGGGAATACTTTTTAAAAATAATGGTCATATGAAAATTGAAGTGTATACTAATGCTGACTAGGCTAGATGTGTTGATGATAGAAGATCGACTTCAGGATATTGTTCTTTTGTTGGAGGTAACCTTGTGTCATGGCATAGTAAGAAGCAAAATGTCGTTGCCTGTTCAAGTGCTGAGGTAGAATATAGGTCCATGGCCCATGGTGTGGCTGAAGTGTTATGGCTGAGATCTCTTCCCCAGGAATTGGGGATTGAGTATGAGAAACCGTTGAGGTTGTATTGTGATAATCAAGTTGCCATCAATATTTTTCATAATCTCATCCAACATGATAGAACTAAACATATTGAGGTTGACCGTCATTTCATCCGCAAGAAAGTTGCTTCTCAAGATGTTTGTTTGCCCTATGTCGCCTCTGATATGCAGCTTGCTGATCTCTTCACCAAAGCAGTCACCGAAGTGAAATTGAAATCAGACTTATGCAAATTGGGAATGATAAATATCTATTCCCAACTTAAAGGGGAGTGTAGTGATACAGTGGCCCAGACATGATGTTCTTTGTTTATGTGGTCCCATAAGTTCAGTTTATTTCTTATTTCTTGCATTTATACTTGCTTACTTGTACTATTGTAGGTAGTAGGGCATTCTTGTCCTTTTATCTAATGTTATGTTGAACATATAAATAATACTGCCTTGGGTGGCAGTAAGTGATTTTAGCCCATCACTCTCTTGCTCTTCCTTTGCTCTCTCTTCTCCTTTATTTCCTCTTTTTCTCTTCTTCTCTTCTTCTCTCTTCTTCTTCTTGATTTCTGTTTTCATTTTGTACCTAGAAGTTCTACTAACAGCAGTAACTTCAAGTGGGCGTTGTGGGGCAGAGATGTGAACTCGCAAGTAAGGATAGTGCCAAGGTCACTGCAATGGATGAAGTTCAAATTGAAGGGTGGGAAGTGACAGCTCCTTCAACCCCCCCCCCCCCCCCAACAAGGGAAAATGTTGCCAGTTTCAGCAACAACAGGGTCCATGGCGGAGGTAGTAAAACTTTAAGTTCTATTGAGAAGATGTTTGGCAAGACACTAGTGGGGGCCATGACCATGGCTATAGAGGTTAATGAAGAGGTCCAAGGAGTGGAAACTAACACCGTAGAGGATCGACAATGAGAGAACTCATCCCTAAGGCTATGTTTTCTGGTTTGAAGGAAAAAGTAGGGAAAGTTTGTATAGGTTTTCTTACCTTTTCCTTCCTTTCCTTAAGAAAGGGGACCAAGCCATAGTACCGCAGGAAGCCACTTTGGCGGCTACTGATGAATCAGTAGGGTCGAGATATGCGTAGGAGATGATAGCATTGATTTGTGTATGATTATTACCAATTGTATTGTTGACATAACAACACTTTGTGCATACTTCCAGAAAAGTACAAGAGGGGAATCAACAAGTGGTTAGGTAATCAATTCATATCTAATCACCGTTGACACCATTTTCACGAGTCTCAAAGTAGAGGCAGAATGGGATGATATTATTGCTAATTCATTTCAAGACATGAAGGTAGAGTAGATTAAGGGGAACATACCCAATGTAGGGTTACCCATTGTCTGGGATGAATAAAATTCAACATTCCTCATGATGTGGAAGATGATGCTTTGGCGTTGTTAAAGGAAGGTGTTCTTCCTGATGTGATGGCAAGGATTCTTGTCGAGATTGGACTCTATTCGAGCGGCATTGAGAAAGGTCAAGATAAGCAGGCCCTCCTGCACTAACTATTTCGCATGGGCCAACACACTTGAAGAACTAAAGACTTAGGGGTTTAAGACTGAGAAGCTGCTGAGTCAAGTTGGAATCCTTTGTGCCTTTTCAAATTGTTGAGAACATCCTGGTTGAAACACGGGCGGACATAGCTTGTCTGTGGTCACGGGAATCATGAAGCAAAAAATGAAGAGCTGAGGTCAAGAAATATGTAGCCATATTTCATGTAATGAGGATTCTGAAATATACATATATTTCAACCAGTAATATAAACTCTAGGTGCACAGTAATATAAACTCCAGGTGCAATGTGTGTTTCCTTGTGTATTTAGTGGATTTGCAGATCAGGGAGGGGTTGCTAAATGATGTCATAACCATGAGGTTGAATTGTATGCCGAAAGGTCGCGATTAAGCGAGGCAAAGTTTGAGGTGCAAGGCAAACTTCTGAGCATGTAGGGTGCATGTTATGCTGAATGTATGATCACATTTACCTAAAGCAGTATAGAGCTCTTTTCATCTTTTGTACTTTGGAGGGAAATATTCTTGTAGTTGCCCTCTTCTTTTGCCATTTCTTCTGGTCTCATCTCATATGTGAGAACAGATCCTATCAACTTATCCATTTGATCAGGGGTGTCCACGGTTCGGTTAACCGAACCATGGCACTTTTTTGTAAACCGAACCGGTGGTACCGGTTTTTCCAATTCTTCAAACCGAAACTGAACCGGTACCACCGGTTAACTGGTCTGCCAGTTTCGGCTTTTGACCGGTTCGGTTCTTCGGTTTTTCGGTTTTTTATATTTATAATGCATATTATACAAAAATATGTATAATATTATACAATAAATAATAAATGATATATAATATATATAATATATTTATAAATAATTCATTATAAATATAATATAAGTATATACTTATATATATAATGAATATATATTTATATATAAAATACATAGAAAATATGTGACATTAAAAATATATATAAAATATACATAAAAATATATATACCAATCGGTTTTTTTATAAGTTAACCGAAAACTGAACCAGTCCTTCGGTTTTTCAAAAATCCTGAACCAATCGGTTCGGTTAACCACATTTTGCGATTCGATTTTCTCAATTCGGTTCGGTTTTTCGGTTTTTATGGACACCCCAACACTTGATGAGTATTGAGATTTCTTAGTTCCTGGATGGCTATAAATTTTACTTCTCATTTCTTTGGAAGTGATCTTAAAATTACTCAATTTCTCCTCAATATAAATCTTCTCAAGAGATTTGAGCACATTTACTATATTAGTAAATGCATACGCTTAGATGAGTGATAAAATTACAAAGGATAAAGTCAAAAATGAAGTCATAAGCAGAAACCTATGAGAAAGTAGACGAATTGGCTTAATAACATGCATAGAACACCATCTGCAACACCCATAACACTCATTAGAAGTGATATGTTGCAAGTGGGAGCTAAAAGAGCTAGGGGGGAGACCAAAAAGGATGTAATCACTGATAATTTGACAATGGATATGACACTAAACAGAATGTATTGGCAAACCAAGATTCATGCAGTAGATGTCAAGTTGGGACAAGGCTTAGATGAAGATGATGATAATAAAAATATATTTTACCCACTTAATGTGAACACTCAAGATTTTAAACCTTTGTAGGTTTTACAACAGTCAATAAAGGTTTTACAATAGATTACAACACGAGTCATGCAACTGCTATCACCATAATAAGATACCTTTTCAGAGGCTTCTATTTGGGCCTTCTCATGGCATCTATTTAAAGAGTACCTGGACATTATTTCAAAGAAAAAATTATATATTTGACAATTTGTAATTTCCCTGCAGCAGCTGGAAAACATGAATGGGATGAAAGACAGAAGAAACCAAGAGATTGCAAAATGTTCAAAAAATCAGGGCCTTGAAACATCTTTTGGGAGCACAAAGATTATATGGGGAATCTTCTTATCAGTCCAGATTAGCTATTACTGCGTCAACAACTTCTTGGGTTGTGCTGCCCCCTCCAAGATCTTTTGTCCGATATTTTTCCTCCGAGATGACACGCTTCACAGCAGTCTCTAATCGATCAGCAAAAGATGGAAACTGTAAATGCCTTAACATCATGGCAGATGACAGAAGCAGGGCTACTGGGTTGGCTTTCTTCTGCTGCACCAGCTTTTCATTCCCCACATTGCCTGCTGAAGCACCTTGTTCGAAAATAGCATGATCAGCCCCCACATTGCCTGTGGACAGTGAGAGCCAGGTATCAGCATGACTAGGGGACAAAAGCATATACTAAGAAGTGAAAACATGATGGTTGCAAATAACAAAAGAGATGCATGCATGCAAAAGCACATTTGTAGATAGCGTACAAAGAATTCACGCTAAAAGAAATAATGGACATAGCTGGACTTCTAACATCAGTGGTTTACCACACCCATATGCTTGCGGCATTTTACCTGGTTAAGCATCTAAGTTGAAAATGCAGTTTTCTTAAAATTTGGAGCACAAGTTGACTACCCAAACTGAGATGATTCTATAGCAGTAAAACTGAAATGATTCTGATACATATTCCATCCTTTTTCTTAACTGGACCTTAAGCCATTCTAGATAAGGACAATGTGGGTTTAAATGTTACATATGGCCTTGACTGTATTGGTTTGGCTTGATTCATCATGCTATTTTATGGGACAATTATTGAAAACTCTCAATGGATAGCTTTCAAGAAAAATAAACAAAATGATATAATGAACGGCATACAATATTCAAATACAGTATAATTGACAATCACAACGTAGGAAGATGTGAGATGGATTTCATAGCAATTCGTTTATAGTTACCTCCTGGCATGACACCAGTGCCTCCAGCAATACCAGCTGCTGTATTTGCTACCAGGTTGCCATAAAGGTTAGGTGTCACCTGCAATAAGTACAAATGAAATTATTAGTTTAGCTGAAGAAACAATAGCGGCTCTATATGCTAGGCATGACAAAATGAATGTAAAAGAATAGTTATGGGACAAATTGCATTATTTATGAATACTACCCAATGTTTAACTAAATCCCACTGGATGAGTTGAAAATTTCAAACAAAGAAAAAAAAATCCAACATACAGATTTTCTGTAAACCATAGTTGTTTAGATGGCAATGTGGGAGTGCCTAGGCATTTTCACCAAGGGGAGTGCCTAGGCATAAAATCCACACCCCCAAAAGAATGAAGTCCCATTATAACATCGAACATTAAACATTTAAATTTCCTATAATTTTTAGTTGACAATAATGACAGATATTTATAAAACAACCAACAAATAAAACAAAATAAAATAAATATCTGTTTATGTTTCTTGTATTTCACATGAAAAGGTGAGGAGTGACAGATATACACAGCCTTACCCCTTCACATACAAGAAACAACTGAGGGGAGTTCCTAGGCTCCCACCAATGCAGAGTCTGAGTGACAGATATACACAGCCTTACCCCTTCACATACAGATAGACTGTTTCCAAGATTTTAACCCTGGTCACCCAGATCGCAGTGGCGGAACCCAACCGCTGCACCAAGGCCCACCCTCATTTCACATGAAAGGGCGTTATTGTAATTTTATCAAAGTAGAAATACTAAGGAGGTGAGACAACCAAGGCCAGCACTTATTCTTCATGACAGAATACAATTTTCTTCTTCTCTATCTTTCAATCTCTTCATCTTCAGCCTCAGATCATCCAGATGATACCAAGGAGGTCATAAAGACAGATCAAAGAAATTCTATGGTGTGGACAAAGATGATTCATAGTTATTTTTTGTGGTGATTAGAAGCTGATGAGTCTTGATATTCTTTCTGCAATTTCTTCTATAGAAAATCAAGAAAATCAGAAGTCTTCATGGTTATGATGACCTGTAGATGGGGATCTGAGGAATGAAGTTTATACAGGTTGAACCACACTTTTTTTACCCAAGCATGGGAATTGGGTCCAGAATTCCGAAGGAAAAATGAAACTTCTAGAATCTTTTTCTGGTCATATATTATTTCCCCTATCAGAAATTGTTTTTGGTTGGTTTGTTTTCTCATTGATCCTTGTTTGGCCTGATTTCCTTTCATCTGGACCATGTTTATTTTGGTTGGAGGCCTAAGAACCCTCTAACTTATGATCTACTACTATAACTCCAAGAATGTTGACAACGAACATTGATGAGCATTCCAGCCTTCGAATTACTAAGGTAAAATTGGATGGGGTCAATTTTCTTGACTGGTCTCTGTCTAAGAATGATACAAACCTAGAGATATGGGAGCAAGAAAAAATGATTATTAAGTTGTGGTTATGGAATTCAATGACTTCTCAAATCAGCAGTGAATTGATGTTTCTAGAAACAGCAGCTCAAGTTTGAGAAGGTTGAGTAAGATTTTTTCTCAAAAGCAGAATGGGGCAAAAAGTTTTCAGCTCATGCAAGAAATCCAATCTATGACAGTAGGGATGCAAATGGAACAAGTTGAATTCAGATAGAGGTATATTCGAATTCAATTTGCCAAGAAACTTTTTCTCAGATGCTACTAACGAGTGGGTCACCGCTCCATCTATCACTTGAGTATCGGAATCTTTACTCTCAACTATCTCCTTAATTGAACCTCTGAACTTTTTATTCCTTTTTTCTTCTTATAAACTCTCATGAATTTGTTTGTTGGACCAGCCCCTACCAGGCCCTCTTTCAATCTAGAAAACACTTTAGTAGCATGGATTAAATGAAACCATCTCCTTAATCGAACCGCTGAACTTCGTTCCTTTTTATTATAAACTCTCTTGAATTTGTTTGTTAGACCATCCCCTACGAGGCCCCTTTCACTCTAGAAAACACTTTAGTAACATGCACTAAATGAAACTTATTTGCAACTCAAGGTTTCTTCAACACCTCCAACTCACTCCCAAGTCCATCCAAATTTGCAAATCTCGTTTTCCAACCCAAATCAACTTCCAACCTCCCAACAACCACTTCAGTTCTTGAAAAGTCTTCATAGCCTCTTACCGCATCATTCTCTTCTTCCTTACCAACCACTTACGGGCTTCCATCTTCAACCCTATCACCTATCTCCCCATCTCCCTCTTTAGCACTTCAACCCAGTGTTTTAAAAGCACAAGAGGAAATTTGCACCCGAGGCGCAAGGCAAGGCACACACCTTTTTGAAGAAAGGCGCAAAAATACAAAAGAAAATGCTAAAAAATCAGAAAAATGTTAGAAATTTCAAAAAAAGCCAAAAAATCAAAAAATATTAAACATAATATTAATAAAAAATATAAACATAAATTTTAGAATAAATGTTTTAAAAAACCTATTATTTAGAATTAAAATACATAAACATAACATGTAGCATATTCAAATGAAAATTTAAAAATAAAATCAAACATGTAAGGCATTTTCAAGCATGTAAAACCCACAATCTCTTTTTTCCTCAATTGCATTACTTCAAGTAGCTAAAGTGATGTAAAACATATGCATTCCTGGTTTTATGAGCCATCTTTGTACCACTGCCCTCAAGGCAATCCCAAACAAGTTCATGTTAGGGTCTTAAATTCTTAATTCTCACATAAAAAATAATGATTTTATAACTTTAATTGTCTTTTAATAAGATATTTTATTAAAATGAATGAATGTACAACATTAGCAAATGGGGGGCTTTCGGAGCTTTTTTGAACCAGGCACTAGGTTCAAAAAAAAGCAAAAAAGTGTAAAATTTTAAAAAGGCACATGCCTTGCGCATCGGGCATACCAGGTATGCACCTTTTGAAAGGGCTGTGCGCCTAGGACCTAGGCGAGGTGCACACCCTAAAATGTGCCTCTCCTGTGCACCTAAGGCACACCTTTTAAATCACTACTCCCACCTCCCCTTACATCTTCCACCACTTTTCCTCCCAAGTCTACCTCATCCTTCTCTTTCCATCCATCTAACTGTGCAACCACCTGAATCACCAAATCCCTCCTCCTTTCCTGAATTACTCCTTGAAGCTCGACTCAAAATGAACCAAACCTAAACTTAAAGTCAATCTCACCTGCTGATTGCCCTCCTTGTTTGCTACAGATAAACCCTAACAATGTACTTGAAGCACTTGTCAAGGACAGCAACTTGCGGTTAACAGAGCTTCAGTGCTCAACACCATCGCTTCAAGTGACCTCGATCTTTGGGAGCACCTTCTTCTCAGCGCTATTATATCTAACAATTTTCCAAACCCACTCCTCAGTGTTCCCTTTTTGGTCTTTGTTGCGGATCCTTCTCCTTCCAAACCTTGAAAACTTAGCCTTGAAGCATTTTCTTTTGAAAATCCTCAAACTCTCAAGTGGTGGTTGGCTGGCTTAAGGATGAAAAGAAGGCTGCTTGGACTCATAGAGATGCTCTTCAAAAGCTCAAATGGATAACAAGGGAAATTACAATAATAACTCAATAGGTACCTAGGGAAGCTAATGGCTTAGCTGATGCTTTAGCCAAGCAAGCGGCAAATAGGGGTGAGAAGATATGTAATCCTACCTCTCTATTCAGGATCATTGTTGTACTTGCACTATTTATATTAATGAAATGGAAATCTATTATTTATCAAAAATGATGGCTTTCTATAGTACATTCTCTTCACATCTCACATGTTCTGGGGTTAAATTTATATTGCCTGCAGATGCATTAGTAAAAGAATGTTCACAAGAAATTGGTCTCCTCATCACAGATTCCTAGTCCTTCCTAAGTAGAATAACCTTACATCAGAGAATAGAGAACAGTATGATGTATCAAATACAGCACAAACAGATTGCCAAGCACATTGAGATATAAATGTCAACCTATCAGAGAGAAATAAGGTCCAAACCTAGCTTATAAATGTTTAACTATCTTGACATCAGAGAATGCAAACAGATAAGGGATGACAATTTTCAAATAAAAAAATAACATCAAAACAGGGAGACCAATCAACATGAAAATATATGGATATACACAGTCAAATGAATTACAAGGTCACATACCATTACATCAAATTGCTCAGGCTTTGAGACAAGTTGCATGCAGCAGTTGTCAACAATAATCTCATTGTACTTTATTCCAGGATATTTTGTTGCAACCTCACGACAAGATTCCAAGAAAAGACCATCTGCTAGCTTCATAATATTGGCTTTGTGTACAGCTGTCACTTTCTTTCGATTGTTGAGGTAAGCATACTCAAAAGCATACTTTGCAATGCGCTCTGAGCAAAACTTTGTTATTACCTAGCAAAAGGCTGTATGAGAGAAGAAATAATCCTCCACAAGGCAATTCCAAATAAGTATTTATAACCTCTCTAAAACTTTGAAAAGATAAATAAAGTCAGTAAAGAAACAAGAAAAGATGTTGAGAGCTCTACACAACCGAGGATTGTTAGTCAAGTGTAGACAAAGAGGCCACATCAGCATAACTGAAAAGAAAGTCGAAAAAATTGTTGTAACAGAACAAAAGCAAGTATTGCAGTCAGTTGTAACCATGAGAATGAAAACAGAATAAATACAAGCGGGAAAGAGAAGATGAGGCATCGAAGAAATTTAGAAATCAATCCTTTCCCCCTCTCTCTTTCTCTCTCTCTTACCCGTGGAGGCTGGCTCCCTCGTAGAAGCCCTGAGTTAGGCAGGTCCCTAACATTTTTGGTATCAAAGCCAGAATGCCCAATACAAGGACGACAGGGTGGATGTTCGAGTAGATAAGGTGGAGGTGAAAATCCACCAGATGTCTACAGACATCAAAGAAATCAAAGAAAGCTTTGCTGCCCTTCTGAGCAAGATTGATCGTATGCCACAGAATGAAAACAGGGAAGATCCAGAAGAATGCAGCAACAGAAACAGCCACCGGAATGGAACTGGAACAACCTGACCAGCAAACATGGATTTCCCAATCTTTTTTTTTTTTTTTGATCAGCAAATAAGACTTTTATTAATAACAGAAATATTGAATTACAATAGTTAGATTGCAGCACTGCATTAACCCAATCTACAAACACAAACAGTTACAGTTCTGCCCAGTATAAGGTAGATCTATTTGCCCCCTGTTTTGCTAGGGTATCCGCCAACCCATTTGCAGTCCTTTTGACCCAACCAAACTGAGAGTTGAACCTCCTTGCAAGTATGTCAATTTCTCTATAGATAAATTTGAGCTTCCAGGGTGCTGAAGTGATGTGTTTTGCCCAAGAAATGACCAGTAGTGAGTCTCCTATTTCTAAATCTGTTGTTCTAATCTGCTCCGCCAGCTTTAAACCTTGAAGTAGAGTCAGAGGTTCAGCATGTATTGAGTCACCAATACCTATTGGTCCTGAGAAGAGTGTCACAACTTCTCCTAGATGATTCCTAATCACACCCCCTATACCTGCCCCTCCCGGGTTACCAAAGGAACTCCCATCAAAGTTTAGTTTTAGTTTGTTCAGTGCAAGTGGCTTCATTTCTCTCTCACAAGTTCTTTGGGTACATCTGTTTGTGTTACTTCAGTCCAGTTTCTTAAAATGTCATTCATGGAGAAGTTTTTGAATAGTTCCATGGTCATCACTCAATGTGCAGTTCTGATTTTTATGGCTTCAATGACTTCCTCCTTTGATTTACTTTTTTCAAAGAAGAGTCTTTGGCTTCTTTCCTCCCATATAGTCCATACCACAGCAGCTCTTGCTGCCTTCCATAAGCACTTTCCTCTTTTCTTATGTTGCCTCAAGAAAGAGGGGTTGAATAGACTTACCACATCCTGTGGGGAAGCTCGTCTGCATCCAAAGAGAGAACATACAATTTCCCAAATACAAGAAACAAAAGAGCAGGATAAGAGTAAGTGGGGTAGGGTTTCACCACAATCCTTACAAAGGACACACACATGAGGAGAGGGGCATTTGTTTGGCCTTCTTTTCTGTAGCACATCACAAGTGTTTACCTTCCCTAGGAACACTTCCCAACAGAAGGCTTGTACTTTAGGAGGGATCGGTTTACACCAGATTTCTCTCACTAGGAAGTTCACCCCCAAAGGATTAGAGTGAGTGAGAAAACTGAAGAAAGAGGCACAAGAGGATAAACCATCAGGAGTTGGGGACCAAACTCTACTATCAGCTGTAGTTTGGTCTAAGTAGACCTTCTCTAGGGTTGAGATCGAGAGCAATAGGGATTCACATTCATTTTCCCTCAGCCCCCTTCTGAAGCCAAAGTCCCAAGAGATACCCAAATCTGAAAGCATGCCAACCCTAGCAACAAGTTTGTTTTTAAGGTTTGACAAAGGGTAGAGATCGGGGAATTTAACCTTAAAAGGCAAATTCCCAACCCGTAGATCTTCCCAGAATAAAACTTTATTGCCACACCCAACATCAAAACAGATAAAGTGAAGAAAGGTTGGTAGTACCTCAAAGATTGCCTTCTAAGGGGAATTTGGAGCTGCATTGGAGGCTAGTTTTGCATCCCAGCCGTTTTCTACTTCACCATGAATGCTTTTAATTACCCTGTGCCACAACTAATCTTCTTCACAAGGGAATCTCCACAGCCATTTCCATAGAAGGGCCATATTTTTCTTTAAAATGTTCCCAATACCTAGGCCACCTCACTCCTTGGGTTTACAAACTTAGCTCTCACTTCAATAAATGATACCTCTTTTCATCGCTGGGTTCCCACAAAAAATCCCTCATTATCTTCTCCATCTTCCTTGCTATTTTCACCGGGATCTTAAAGGTGGAGAGGAAATAAGTGGGCAGTTTGCTAGGGTGAATTTTATCAAAGTGATTCTTCCCCCCAAGGAAATATAACTTCTCTGCCACATTTCCAACTTCTTTGTGAATCTATCTAAAACTGGCTTCCAAAAGCTTTCAACTTTCGGGTTTCCCCCCAAGGGCATACCTAGGTATTCTAGAGGCCAGCTTTTCACTTCACAACCTAGCAAATTTGCCATGGCTTGGATGTCACCCTCTCCTAGGTTTATTCCAGCTACACAGCTTTTTCCCCAATTCACTTTTAGTTTTGAGGCCTGCTAAAACTTATCCACCAAATTTTTCAGATTCCTCAAACTAGGTTCATCACAACTCTTACAGAAAATGATTGTATCATCAACAAATTGCAAATGAGACACCACCACCTCTGAACTACCAATCCTCCAACCTTTAAACTAATTTTCTTGGTCAGCCTTGATGATTTGTCTACTCAAAACCTCAGCAACAAAGGTAAACAAGAATGGGGGTAAGGGATCACCTTGTCTCAGTCCTCTTTTAGCCGGGAAGAAGTCCTTTGCTACCCCATTTAAAAGGACAGAAAAATGTGCAGAGCTAATACATCCTTTGATCCATAGTCTCCATCTTTCTCCTAAACCCATCTTTTCCATGAGATTCAACAGAAAGACCAATCCACCATATCATAAGCTTTTTCTAGGTTCAATTTACAAATTAAACCTTTTCCACCTTGTTTTTTCTTAGCTGCCACACATTCATTTGCCACTAAGATTTGATCCACTATTTGTCTTCCTTCTACAAAAGCTCCTTGGTTCTGAGAAATAACAAAGGGCAAGACAGTCTTTAACCGACCAGCCAAAACTTTAGCAATGATCTTATACATGCTACCCACAAGACTTATCAGTCTATAATCCTTAGGGGTTTTGGCCTCTTTCTTTTTTGGCACTAGAACAATAAAAGTTGCATTTGCTCCTAGAGAGAATTTCCCTTTTTGATGGAATTCAACAAAGACATCCATTAAATCATCTTTTAAGATCTCCCCAACAATCTTGATAGAAAGTCATTGAGAAACCATCCGACCCCGGAGCGTTAGATCTATCCATCGAGAAAATTGCTTCATGGACCTCCTCTACATTGAAAGCTCTTTCTAAGAGGGCAACTTTAGATTCTAGCACTCTATCCTACAATAATTCCCCAAATTCCAAATTGCTTTCAACAAAGGAGGCAAGGATTGACTCGAAATGATCAACAAAGCACCTTTTAATTTCCTCCTTTGAGTTTATTACTCTTCCCTCCACCTCGATACCGGAGATTTGTTTTTCCTTCTCTTGTTTGCTAGTGAGTGGAAAAATCTGGTGTTTCTATCCCCCTCCAGAATCCATTTACACCTTGATTTTTGTCTCCAAGAAACTTCTTCCTTCCTCAGCATTTCCTCTTATTGACTTTTAATTTCCATCTTTCAGCTCTGTCCACCAGCCCGCACTCTTTGCAGGCTTCCTTTTGGTCCAATTCCTCTATTTTCCTAGCTAATTCCTCCTTTATGACCTCAAGTTTTCCAAATTCTTCTTTGTTCAACTCCTTGACCTTTTCCTTTAATCTTTTCAACTTCTTTGAGAATCTCACCCCTTTCTCTCTGGCCCTTATTCCACCTTTTGACCACTAATTGTTTACCTTTTGCAGGTTTGGAACTTCTAGCCACATATTCTCAAATCTAAAGGGTGTAGGGCCTCCAATAAGGTTTTATTGGTAAAGACTTAGGGAGCAGTGGTCCGAGGTTACTCTAGGAAGGGCTTTCAATGTTAAGTCCCCCCCCCCCAACTCCTCTCAATCATTGGAGAAAAGGAACCTATCCAGCTTTGAGCACACTTGACTTTCCTGAAGATTTGACTAGGTGAAAGAGGCTTGTAACAATGTAGGTTCTCTTAGTTCTAGGGACTCAATCAAGGAGTTGAAGTGTCTCATACTTGTTGTTATGGACTGATTGGGGTTGTTTGTCTCATTTGTGTACCTTATCACATTGAAATCCCCTCCCAAACATCATGGTCCCTCCCAAAGGCCCCTAACTACAGTTAGCTCTCCCAGAACGTATCCCTCTCTCTATATGAGTTCGGGCCATACACATTGGTCAGCACCCAATCCCTTCCATCACTCATCTTCTTGGCTTTTATTGATACTAAGTATTGTCCTATCAACTCCTCCTGACAATCAACTTCCTCGTTCTTCCAAATTGTAAGGATACCACATGAGGCGCCCTAAGATGGGGCAAAAGACCAACTTAGACCCCTACTACTACTCCAGATACTTCTTATCCATATTCCATCCAAATCCGAAAGTTTTGTTTCCTAGAGCATGACTATTAATGGTCTCTCAGTTCTTATCACATTCCTAATGGTTCTCCTCTTTTTTGCACTCCCTAACCCTCTTATATTCCAACAAAGAATCTTCACTCCACTTTTTTGTCTAGACCCTTCCCTATTTCCAAGTCCTAGTCTCCTCTCTTTTCCTCCCTCTTCTTGTTTACTGTCTTCACTCCACAGGCTAGCTTTTCCACCTCATTCA